TTTTCAAAAGAGAAGGGTCCGGCAACGGAAAGACGTGCAACAGAACCACCTTTCTAGTGATCTGCCAGGACGACCACAACATGGGCAGAATGATTTAACGGCAAGTGGCACGAAAACTCTCCAAGACGTGTAGGACCGATATGCCTAGGACAGAATCCGGCACTCCTGAGCAAGGCTGCGTAGAACTTGTTCTAGTGATGGCACTCTTATAGCGCCCTAGGAAACTGCAACACGCCGACTAGGACGCTGCCAGAGTTATTGGCACGATTCCAACGGGAAGCTCGCTAAAAAACGCTTTCTGAGTCGCGTAAAACAATGCTTTTTTGCAGGTTCCTGATCGTTTAACTTCGCTTTTTGTCCACTTTGCCCCACAATATAACACATTTGAGGTTGTGGCTTTAGAAAACCTTATGGTACATTAGAGGGACCAAACAAAAGAAAACTCACCACATCATTATGAGAACTTCGAGTGATTCTCGGGGTTCGAATCGCTGGCGTTATCAGCAGTGAACATTCACTGCGAGTAGCTGTTAATTTAGTCGGCTCAGAACCCGGACACATTTTCTCAAGAATCGCCCTAAATAAAAACTATTAGGCTAATGAATATGCAGAAGATAGAAGAGAAAGAAGAAGGAACACTCTTAACACCATACCTCCTTCGATCGACGATGAAGATTCCGACTGTGTCTTGTGCACGACGAACCTGCGACTGCGGTTTTCGCTCTTCTGCGAAAATTAAAGCGCGCCATCGACGACACACGTCCGAACATCGTAATATTGTCACGTTGTCACATCTAAACAATGTTTAGATAAAGCCGAAGCAAAACATGTTTGGCTGAGCGAAAAGAACAAGGCGCAGTTCGGCCACGGAGGGGGAGGGGGTCTTTTGCACTTCCACTGCTTCAATAGTTTCGACTCACAAGTCTGATGGAACCTGAGAACCTCTGAAGCTGTAGCAACCTCGCCTAAGGCTGTGGCTGTGTTCATACGCGCCAGCGTCCACCACCGACCACCAGCGTACAGCAGTCTTTTGCGGGCATTTTTGAACTTGAGCAAAACTGCCGCGTGCAAACCGCGAGAACGCTGCTCTACGCTGGTATGCTGGATCGATATCCATACTTTTCTAGTCGCTTGGACGCTGGTGATCGTTGGTGGACGCTGACGCAAAGTATGAACGCAGCCTGAATGGTATTTGTATGGTATTTCATTGCTTTACAAGAGCTGAGAAGTGTTATTTACAAACTTTGTCTGCTACCACTTCGTGGCTTCACAAGATTTCACAGGTCTTCACTTGACGGCTTGCCCCGTCAACAGGAAATAGCCAAAGTGCAAATGCCCCCCCCCCTCGCCGAACTGCGCCCAAGTTGAAAAAAATTATAAATGTGAAACCAATCACCTTTGGAACACTTTCACGAGAGCATCGTCGGAAAGATCGGCAATGGTTGTCGCTTTTTGAATTCGTAAAGCACGCAGATTAAGAAAACTCATACTTATGCTGCGAGCACTCCTCACATAGGAAAGCTCTGAAATTTACACTTTAAGGAATTTGCTATGGATAATAATATGTCCATACGGAACATTAGTCACGAGCAGGGAACACGTAAAACCACAAATACGTACGAGCACAATCAATAAAATCGATAAACAAACAAACAAATAAGGCTGACGGAAAGTTGCAATAGTTTATGCATGCGATCTAATCGTGTATAGAGGGGCACAACAACAGCGTATCATATACACGTAGAATAATGCTGCATAGAAATAGTACATTTCGAATGCGCATAAGCGTGCATACGAACTACGTGATTTGAGACAATAATCCCAGTTTCGGCACGTTGATAGCTACCAACGACACCCCTACACAGGTGACTACGCATCTCTAACTGAAGCAAAACCTTTGTCAAAACACCGGTTCTGAACACACATGACCCTTTTCTATGCGCTAATTAGGTGCCTATAGTGCCCTGGTTGCGATAGACTTAAAGTCACATTCCGCGTTCATTTGGTGCCACGATGCCATTCTTGGGCAAGGTATACAAGCACAGAAGATCTATCATTTCTGTGACTGAAAAATACGTGATAACGACTCCAGCCGATCATGACGAAGGCCATGTCCCGCCCAGCGCCCCATACTACAGCCAACGTTCTTTTCCAAGAGGTTCCCGGCAACCAACGGTTGCCACGCTACTAGCTCGCTCCATTTCGATTGATGAAAGTGAGGTGATAAGGGAAAGAGCTGATAGCGAGTTATAACTCGTCCAGACACGCCCTCTTTCGCTGTATACTTGTACGAGCCACGATTAGCAGAGAGTCCTATCTAGGGCTTTTCAGAAGGGTTTTCTGTTTTTTTTTTCAAATTCTTGCTATGTATACCTATACTTATAATGCCGTCGCTAGGTCGTGAATCGCGCTACCCACCATTTTTGATCACAGGATGTGCCTTTACGTCCACGAAGAATCATTGAAAACAAGAGCTGCAATCTCTCGAATCGCCAAGTCTCCCATGGCAGAATCTCCTCAGTTCGCAAGTATGAACGCGGTCTTAGATCGATCTCATGCTTCGTGATCTGATCACTCTGATTCTGATAGGCGAAGTATGGACACGCCGAAATAATTTTATTTCCGCTCCATTATCGCAATTTTGGCGCCCTTCTGAGAGTAGTATAGACTTATTTGGTGGCAATACCAACTTGGTGGTCGTAAGAAGTCGACGAACCCCGTAACTGTGACTGAAGCCTATATTCAGAAGAAGAGAAAGTATGATGTGTTGCTATATGAATGAGTGCACGGAGGAAAACGTGTGCAAAATCAAATGTCAAAATGGAAAGTTCGTAAAAATGATAAGTCAATTAGTCATGAAAACAGTCTCATATAATCACATGATAATCATGATAACATTCTGATATAATGTTGCAGAATGTTGCAAAGAAATTCGAACAGAATTAAAAAGACGACAACATAAGAAAAGGGCAATGTTTGAATAATGGATAACGAATTGGATGCAAAATGCTAGACGGAAGTGATTTCTGAGAAACGTGCAGCTCCACACCATAGGTCTAATAAGGCCGCGTCCGTGCCTTGCGTCAGCGCTTGGATCTTACGTCAGCGTATAAGCGACTAGGAAAGTATAGGTGCTAACGTATTTGGGGGGGGGGGACCACGCGGCGAGCGGCGAGTGATGACTCATCAGCTCTTCACTCATAGGCATACTTGAAGCGCGAATCTAGCAGCCAAATTAGAATGAAACAAACAAGATTCACCGGGAACTTGCTGGGAAATCCCACAGAAGCTGAAAACAACAAATATTTGATCTTTTATAGTCAAGAATCAACAAAAAGGCAACATTCGTTTGTATTTTAGGCAAAATCTTCCAGCCTACAACTGTTTCTTCGCACTTTTCAGCCTTAACTGTTTTAGCTTTTGAATATAGCTAGGGCGAAGTTATATTCATGTCCTAAACACGAAATTACTTCTATATTGCCGAGGAGGGAGCAGAAGAGCGGATGAGTCATCGCTCGCCGCTTGCCGCGTGGTCCCCCCCAAATACGTTAGCAGGAAAGTATAGGCATCGATCGAGCGTCTTCAGCGTACATCGGCGTTTAAGCGTTTTCGCGGGCAGTTTTGAGTATTTGGCAGGCAGTAGCTCAGCATATTGATCGATATCTATACCGAACAGGCTACTGAGGCGAACTGGCCACCCCGAATGCTAAACGCCGCGCGAACAACGCTTAAACGCCGACGTACGATCGATGCCTATACTTTCCTAGTTGCTCGAAACGCTCAAAACGTTGACGCAAAGTATGAACAGCCTTAGGAGAGTATCCCGTGAGAGCAGAAGTTCTCTGTCTGTAATTGCGAAAGAATTCGATGTAATGAATGAAATTGGTTAACAGCTGGTGATGGATTTCACAAAGAGTAATAAATGACGCTAATACTTTTAAATACAGTGTTGTGGGAAGACCACGTCAACGTGCACAGAGTGCGATATTGAATGATCAATTCCACGTAAAAGTTGGCGTTCGATTCAACAGCTTTCACACAACGAAACGATTGTTCACTGGGCCCATAGCACTGCCATGCAAACACTGCTATTAATAGGTTTCCTGCCAAGTGGTGTTCTGTAGGAAAAAGATCTCGCTGAGGAACGTCACCTTTCCGAAGGGAAACATAGCCATTTACCATTCATACCTTCGGGCTGTAAAAAAATTGATGAAATGAAGGAAAGTGGAACGTATACGCACCGACCTACTTCCGGAATTTCGCTTCTTCAATTCTATAACGCCCCATACCTATATGAATATTCCTGTTCATGGTTTCTTCAAATCGTCCTCACTATCTCACTCAAAGACAGCTTCGCGATAAAAGTGTCTTGGATAGTTGCTTTTCAATTATGAAACAGTAGCTGATAAGTAATCTCCCAAAGAAGAAAACAAGCAGGAAGCGTCCTCCAGAACAACATAAACAAATCGCTCCCTCATAGTCACACCTCCCTGCGGTCTCTGTGCAACCCCTAGCTCACAAATCTCTCTATCACATTTCGCAAATGCTATTATCCACGTGCAAAATAAAGCAATACAAAAAAAACAAACAAAAAGGCAGAGGAAAAACTGCTTGATAGGAAAAGATAATTTTAAAAACCGCCAGTACCAATTTTTTGGGCTACGGTAAAACGCATATTTTAGTGCACTGAAGTGCGTCGAGCTTTTGCACCACGAAAATTGCGTCACTCGTGATTTTTACGCGTTTCACCTCGCGAAATGGGTTGAGTTGAATGTATATGCCCCCATTGAGTAAACTGTAATAAAGGAGAGCAGAATTATCCATGGGCACGAGTGCGGTCAGCAAAAAAAGGAGGTGCGCAATTCCGATTAAATGCCGCCGCCCCCAACTAGGAACAACTGAGTGGCCTCGTCGGAGGGCATCTAGCAAGTAAGGCGGTCCAACTGAGCAGGCGTTAGAACTAGAACTTTGAGCGGCTGTAGCTCGCTCCCCGCTCACTGTGGAGTCGAATAGAGTGGGACAGTCTCTAGCTTGGGGCTGTACTA